AGTTTAAAATGACCCAAATCCTTGGGAACTTTGCTGGGTGATTTGGGAACTCCATGATTTTTCTCATCTACTTCCAGGAATTTTCTACCTCAGCTAGACAGTACCCCACTTACCTTTCCTTTTTGTCCCTCAGTGAGATTTGTGTACCCCATCCTGGCCCACCAACTTCAGGGGAGCATGTGTATTCCACACAGGATGAGGGAGACAGGACTCAGGGTCCTCTGGGTGCTCTCCCCAAGGACCCTAACAGCAATATTGTTGGGCAGTTCCCAGGGTGCTGCCCTGTTATGCATTTCCCCAAGCAAACTGTCCCAGGATCCCATGGCCTTCAGCCTTGGTTTTTTCATTGCCATTGTATCTCAGGAGCCTATCTTTGGATCCGAAGATCCAAAACACCACATGGCCTTAGTTTCCTGGTCCTGGGGAAGGGCTGCCAGGCAATGCTAGTAATGGCAAGAACAGTGAATCACACAGTCCTAGGCTCAGTCCACCTCTACCACCCACAGCTCCATGAGGCAGTGGTGGAATGGAAACAGAGACAGAAAGACCTACCTCTTTGATCTCAGGCAAGCTTCTCAGTTACCCCTGTCTTAAACTAGCTAAACCTCAGTGATCTCATCAGTAAAATGGAGGTTATCGTAATTATTTTAAAGATTTGCTAGGAGGATGAAAAGAAATACTGTGCCTGGTGTGAAGCAGGCACTAAATAACTGGTTGATGTCATTATCATTGTTACTATTATGTGACCTTTGGCAAGACACTTAACCTCTCTGAACCTGCTTTCTAATGTGAAAAACTAGAAGTAATAAGAATTATCTCTTAGGATGATCGCAAGAATTATATATGTAAAGGAATGTATAGATTATATATGTAAGGATTACAAGGGCAACACATGTAATATATGTAAAGCACCTGGCACAGTGCCTGATACATAGTGGACACGCAATGTTAGATTTCTTTCCCTTTCCTTCCCAACCTTCCTCTGTGAAATCCAGGAGAAGAGTTTCCCGGCTCCCTCATGGTCAAGCTGGCCCCAACACTTAGCTAAAAACCAGAAGAATCTGTCCCTGAAGGTGGTTTTTCCGAACTTCTGGTCCTTGGAGCACCCTACCTGCTGCGCTCTCAGCCCACACCCTTAAAAGAAAAAACTGTCTGGGGAGAGGCCTCCGCGGAACGCGCGGGGACGGCCAAGAGGGAAGCTGACAGCTGCAGGACTCGTCGCTGAGCACTAGGGGGAGCAATACGATCGAGAACACAGTGAGGGCCACGCCCAGAAATCTCAACTTCCCCTGTGCCCCAGTCGCCCAGGTCGGGCTGATCCAAGCTAGAAGAGAACCTTAAGGACTACTCAGAAAGGCCTGGGAGCAAATAATGAGAGAAAATGTAGGGAGCCACGGAGAGCACACTGTCCTTCCCACTTCAGCCTGGTCCCGGCCTCGAGAGCTCTCTGCCGCTGCTAGACTGCAACCGCAGGATCCCCTCCTGGAGGAGCCAGGTGGGGGCTTGAGGAACAAGAGGTAAGGGAGCCAGGCCAGGTCACTTTTCCCAGTCACTCCAACTTTTACATCTAGCCCACCCAGCATCTTAGTAAGTCTCAGTGGGTCACAGCTAGAAGGAGTCCTATAGAGCCCCAGATAGCTCAACCCTTAGATGTTCAGCTGGAGGGCAAGGACCCAGAGAGGAGGAAGAGTTTGAGCAAGATCTCCCAGGTAGTTTATCGTCACCCCTCATAGGGTTTATCAAATACTTTCACGTCCATTATCTCGCTTGGATATTCACAACCACCTGGAGGAACGATTATTGCATTTTACAAATGAGGAAACTGAGGTTCAGGTAAGTGTCCATAGCTCTCCTCTTCCCTACTAAGTTTTCATTGCCACCCACTGTTCCCTTCTCTCTTGCTTTCCCCAGGAAGATTGCTACCCAGCTCCATGTATTACATAAATCAAAATTTTAAAGATTTATTGCATTCCCCATCTTCCTAACCCATCTAGTATGATGGAGAGATGACAGAGCATAGTAATTGTGAGGGTGGACTTTGGAGTCAGACCTGAGTGAATATATTCCATCTTCATCACTTATGAATTCCATGACTATGGACTTCTTTGTACCTCAATTTCCTCATCTGCAAAATGGGAGTATTCACATCTATCTCCTGGAATTCTCTTAAGGGTTAACTCAGATGTACTGTGAAGCAATTTCATAGTGCCTGGCATATAGTAAAGGCTTGAGAAATGCTTCTAGCATATATAATCATCATACAATTATAGAACTGAAATGATCTTTAGGAATTAGTTCACTACTTTCATGCCATTACCAATGAAGCTAAACGGAGTTAAGTGGGGGTATTACTGTGCGAAGTAGTTTTGCATACTGGTTTGAATGGTTCTCATCCCCACCCCCCAGAATCCATGTCCATCTGGAACCTCAGAATGTGAACTTTTTTGGAAATGGGATCTTTGCAGATGTAATGAGTTAAGATAAGGTCATACTAGATTAAGATGAGTTCTAAATCAAATATGACTGCTGTCCTTATAAGAAGAGGAGAGGGGGCTTCCCTGGTGGCACAGTGGTTGAGAGTCCACTTGCCGATGCAAGGGACACGGGTTTGTGCCCCAGTCCAGGAAGATCCCACATGCCGTGGAGCAGCTGGGCCCGTGAGCCATGGCCGCTGAGCCTGCGCGTCCGGAGCCTGTGCTCCTCAACAGGAGAGGCCACAACAGTGAGAGGCCCGCGTATCGCAGGGAAAAAAAAAAAATTGAAGAGGACAGGACATATAGAGACATCAAGTCACAGAGGAAAGAAAGCCATGTGAAGACAGAGGCAGAGACTAGGGCGATTCAGCTACAAGCCAAGGAATGCCAAGGTTTGCCAGGAACCCCCATAAACTAGGAGAGCAGTTTAAATGCCATAAACCCACCCCTACCAACACCCCTCACCCAGGAACCGACCTTGTCAACACCCTGATTTCAGACTCCTGGCCTCCTGACTGAAAGAGAATACATTTCTGTTGTTTTAAGCCACGCAGTTTGTGGTAATTTGTTACAGCAGCCCTAGGAAACTAGAGTTTGTGACAGAGGGAGACCTCCAGCAGAACTCGCAGTTTTTTGTTTTTTCTTCCAGTCTAGCCCTCTTTTACTCCATCATTGCCTCCCCAAACCAGCAATAAACATTTACGGTAGACCTACCTAGGAAGTTTACTTATTTGGAGAAAAATTAACACACACTATAATCTTTAGCACTTCTTACTAAATTGTTACCTGATACACAGTAGGCATTTAATAAACACTTACTGGCAAGTTGATAAAATAATAGATATAAAAATGGTATGTTGTGTTATACAAATTTAAGAAATTAGTACAAACCCACTTTCTACCTCTGTGTATGTACATCAGTGTGCCAGACTCTAAATTAATTTACACATTTTATGTATTTGAAGAATCACAAAACTTCAGGTTCACAAGCCCTGCCCATGCACTAGCTCCTGGGGTGATGAATTAAAAAGAGAGTAATCTGAATACCCTCAGGACTCAATCCTAGATGGTGGGGATGATCTCATTCTTGCTGGGTCCTCCCACACTCACTGAGGAATGGACAAGTGGGAGCTCAGGGAATCAGGGGAGCTGCCGGTTGCTGTAAAGGAAGAAAGCACCAGGTCAGCCTGGGAGTAGAATGGGTGGTGGTGGGTTAACAAAGGGAAGGAGGGGAGGAGGGATGAGCTGATTCACTGGGACAACTCTTAGAGTGACTCAGAAGCCAGCAGAAAATAGCCTGTTCTCCCACGTCTGCCTCATTGTCGGGCAATGAGGCACTTCCTCATTGCACACCCGTAAGGCAGGGCAAAAGGGAGGAGGAGGAAACGGAATTTTTCAAATTCATGGGCCTAGTCCAGCACTTAAACTCTGTGTTTTTAACCATTTCAGACATTTGTTTCAAGTGACGTCAGTATTTGTTGAGCACCTACTATGTGCCTGGCCCTTCATCTCGCCTTTCAGATCATCAGTCTCCTGAACACAGGGAATGATGTCTTTCTGAAGTTCTGTATTTCCTATTTGTTACTTCAGAAGCACTTGGGCTGCTGTTGAGCACCTCAGTACAGTCTTCTTGTCCTTCATATATAGAGATGAACTTCTCCAGCCAGCAGTCAATAGGGGGAGGCATGGAGCTTGTTTCGGTCTCTAATGCTGGATTTACAGTCATCCAGGCCCACTCTGGACCAGCTCTCCTTGTGAGAGCCAAGTGTATGGTGAGCAGAATATAGCACAGGTTTGAAATCACACATCTTGTTGGAAGTTCTTTATTTACCATTTACTAGCTCTATGGCTTTACTTGATTTCTCTGAATCTCTATCTTCTCATCTGTAAAATGGGCACCAATGATGTCTATCTTACAGGTTAGGAAAGATTTTTCATTTGGTAGTGAAGATTAAATCATTATATGAAAGTACCTGGCACAGTGATGACATTAATACCGGTTTACTTCCTTCAAACATATCAATGATTGCAGACTGACCACATCCTTCCACCAGACCATAAACTGCATGAGGACAGGGCTGCATCTGTCCTGAGATAGTCTGCCTAGGTGAGTACTAGGCCCCTAGTACTGTCTTGCTTAATAAGAATTGTTAATATTAGAAATAATATATTAAAATTAATTTCCATTATTTATGCATTATAAATATTTAATTGTAAGTATTTATTATATTATATTAAAAACAATGTGGTTACTATTCTCTTAACCAGTTGAATCAATCTGTGAACTGGAAAAGGATCCAGAAACCTTGACCTAAGGAAGGGTCCTCTCCCTTTTCTGGGTTATTTGGTGCTGGTAAGACTTGCTGCGACCACCAGCAAGATCTGCATTCCTGTGTTCACGAGGGACAGGCATTCCTTGCATCCTCTACTGTCCTGTGTCCCAGCGTCACTGCGAACGTGGCCCCACGGTATAATGGGGCCAAGGACACAAAAAAGTCCCCTCATTTGTAAAACATAACGTAGAAAACCATGACACACGAATTTTATTCATTCGACTTCTACCTGGAAGGCAGGTCTGGCTGGGTTTGGGCTACCCGGTGTCCCCGCTCCAGGGGCTCCAGAGCTACTATTCTCTTCCAAATGTAATGTGAAAAGAGAAGGGGGGGCGTCTCCGGGTTTTTTATCTTTGCGCCCTTGTTTCTAGCACAGGCTTCGTACTGGAAAAAAAAGAGAGAAGGCAAGCCACGTTACCAGGTTTTCAACAACCGGTTTTCTAAAGCAGACCCAAAGCGCACTTCATTTATTAACATTTTGGATGAAATGAAACGTTAATGTGCCTGATCAATCAGGGCACCCGAAACCCGCCGTTCCTAAGCTGCCCGTACCATGAGGGTAAACACGAAGCACTCGCCACCGTCCGGTCCAGAAATAGCTTAGAAGGTGGAAAGTTGCAGAAGCCTGGCAGTGAGGGTCGTAAGCCCACCCCCTAGCCCGGGCCGGAGGACTACGCTTCCTCCCGGAAGTGACGCAAGCTCAATCCCAGCTAGGCTCTCCCCAAACAAAAGGGATCTTGGGGCCCCGGGAGGAGCCTAAAAGACATTGGAGAAGCTCCTCCTCCAGCCGGAGCGGATTGGTGTCAGGGATGGAGAGGCGAGAAGGAGATTGGCCCTGCCGAATGCCAGGGCCCTCGCCAGGCGGTCGAGGGGCGGGGCCTCGGGGGGCTGTGGATGGAGCGGGTGGCGGAGGCGGCAGGGAGAGGAGCCCCGAGCGCTGGGAAAAGGTAGGAGCCGCTGGCGCCCGGGCTTGGCGGCGGCTGGGAGGCCGGGTTCTCGAGAGAAAAGCAGGGGTAGGACCACCGGTGTCCTCCCGCCGCCGTCCCAACTGCCGCTCGCGCCCATCCCCTGAGGGGGCGGAGCCGTCTCCTCTACCTCCCGGTATTCCCTGAGGAGGCGGCTTCTCAACCTTCGAGGGTGCTCGCAGCCACTTATTGCCCCCCGTCAACCCCAGCTCCCCAGAAGGGGCTGCCCTCCTGACACCCTCCGTATAAAGGGCCCCCTCGCCCGGCCCCTCAACCTTGGGAGAAGGCGTACGGGTTCCCATTCTGTAGACTGCTGTCCCCACCCCCATTTGTCTGGCCGCCCCCGGGAAGCCAGACATCCCTTCCTACACCTGTCCTGCTCGCTAGGGTGGGACCAGAGCTAGTTTCATCCGTAAGATAAAAATCAGTGTTTTCAAAAAAGAAAAAAAGAGAGATGGGGCGATGCAAAAATCAGAGACCCGACGTAGACTGCCAGCTCCACGGACGAAACGGCCTTCCCCCACTTGGGTTCTTCCCATCCCCCATTCTCTGATCCTCAGCCTTCCGCCTGAAGCCCCTAGGATCCTCTTTTCTCCTGTGGGGCATCGAGGGCTCACCTGCTTCGGGATCTTTTTAGTCTCTGGAGGAAGGAGAAATAGTAACCTTCCCCGCCCCCCTTTGTACCTTTATTCCTTGAGGGAGAACCCAACCTCTAAGGGTTTTTTTAGGTTTGAGTTGCGTTTCATTTTTGCTTTCCACCCTGTTTCTTCCCTGAAAACTGGATGAAAAACCACCCTTTGGTATTTCATAGTGAGGTGGGCGTGTTGGATATCTACAGAGTTGGTCTTGTGTGGGTAGGAATGCACTGTATATTGTTGGACTGTCAGTGAATAACAGCCTGCTTTCAAGTGAAACAGTACAGATAAGTAAATAAAGAGCTTTAGATTAGGAATGAGTATCTCCTAGTCTCGGGTAGGCTGGTCTGTTGCTCAGGGAGACTGCAGTTAACCTGGAAGGTATAGTTCTGTTGAAACAAAAGGCAGGAAGTGTTTGAAGAAAATTCAGGTTCAGTGGTCTAGGTTTATGATTAATCTGGTCCGGTGGCGTTTGGTTACTCTCTAGCCCCTATTTTATGGTGGGTTTTTCCCTCCAGGTGAAACTGATATATATATATATATATATATATATATATATATATATATAAAATGTTGTTGATCGGTTTTACAAGACCACTATCATCTACCAAAATTCAGGGGATGAAAATTAAAAGCACATTTTAAATCTCAGCGATAAGGATAAATAAAAGCAAGGTAAACTCCAGCTATTCACACACATGTGACTACCAGAGAGTGTCCCTATAGTGTGCTAAAAAGGCCTTCATTTCAGCAGGTGCGAAATATTGATGCTTTTGGCGTAATGTTAATGCCATTGAATCCCTAGTAATCATCTATTGCTAGCACTTTCATATATTAAATTTGCCATATTTTTTTTTAGCATTGTTTCTTTTGCTTTCGGTCTGAAGTCTTACTACTGCTATTTATAGCCAAAGATAATAACCATGGGATGCAAGGAGTTGGAATCATGGGGGCAATTATAACAGCTGTCTTTTACCTTCCTGATTAGAGTCTCTGAAGGTAGACTTTCTGAAGGTAATTAATTTTGAATAGTTAGGTTTGAAGTTTTCAGAGCCAGTCTCAGTGCTCACAGATCTGCTCAGTGATTGTTTCCAGATCTCCGATAAAAAGGCACAAAGAAGAAACTGTGGAGGGTCTCTCCAGCAAACACAAAGTGTACTGCGATAGGTGGATAAGGGCCCCTAGCAATAGCAGCAGAAAAGAACTAAAAGCAGAACAGGAATTCCCAAAAAGATATATCTTATTACATGAGCAGAGAACAGAAAATAAACTGAGGTAAGAGACTAAGGAAACCAAAGTTGTGGTGATTGCCAGGGCCTTAATGAGCAGAGAGGAAAAAGCAAATAATGCTCTTTGATTACTTGGCACAATAAGCAGGATCTGTTTGATACACATTTGGGTCTTGGAAATCTTTCCTTTAACTTTTTCAACACCTGTTTGGTTATGTCAGATGAAGAAAAACATTTGTATGCAGAGATTTTTTTAAGGTATATTTGTAATCTGCCTCATTAAATTATAAATTCTTTGAGAGAGATATTAGTATGTTCCATCTTTGTACCTTTCACAATGCCTAGTATATAGTTTGACTTCATGAGCATTTGTTGAACTTAGTTTGAAGCTGACCCCTTCGGGTAGACTAGAAAGATAATTTACTGATAAGATGTGGCGCATCTTGTTAGTATAAACAGTCCATAGAGAATTTAATATTAAATATTCTTCCTCTATAGCATTTAAACAAAGGTGAAGAATTAGTGTCTGATTTTAGTTATTGGTTGGTTTTATTTTAAATATTTCAATATATAGCTAAGATGCCTAAGTAGGGGAAAACAAAGCTTGTATATGTCATGATCTCAGACATCTGATACAAGGATTTTTAGGCCACTGAATTGGTGTTTAGTGGCATGATACAAGAAGCAGAGATTTATTTCTAGAGGAAGTTTGTCCAGTCTGTCGTGGTTGACCCCAGGAATAGCTTGTCAGCCTGTTACTAAAGGCCATTTTTTCTTATTTCCTGGATGTTTGCTGATAATAACTAAAAATCAAATCTTCGTAGTTTTAGTTCAAAGCATTTCAGTGAGAACGTGGCTTATTTATGGTGAGGCTCTAAAGTGTGCTGATTTACAGCACAGACTTTAAAGGCAGACCTGAGTTCAAATCCCTGCTCTTTTGCTGTATGACCCAGGGAAATGGCAGTTTTTTATCTTCACCATATCTCAGTTTCCTCAGCTGTGACTTAAAAATGACTTTCAGAGATTTTTTTTAAAAGATTACATGAACATGACATATAGGAAGCACTCAGTAATTGGTAGGTATTATTGCCATTATTATTAGCACTTTGCATGTGAGTTAAAGAATTTAATCTTAAATATTCTTTTACTCCTTTAGCATTTAAACAAATGTGAAGAATTAGTGTCTGAGTTTACATATTGGTTGGTTTTGTTTTAAATATTTGAATATATAGCTAAGCTTCCTAATTAGAGGGAAACAAAGCTTGTATATGTCATGATCTCAGACATCCGACAGAAGAGTTTTTAGGGCAGCCCATGTGTCTTATGGTTGTGTGTGTTTCATAATTTTGTCATGTACCTTATCTTCCTTAAACTCTTTGGCCCTGGAAAAGGAAAGGCAAGGGATTCAACCATCTGATGTCTTCTCTCTGAATTGTCAGTTGTTTCACTCCACAGTGCCTTAAGTACCTTCACCGTCAGTGTCATATAAATGGTTTCGTGGATACCGTGATTATGGTGCAGGGTTGTACCTTCTGTGAGATTTAAGGGATTTTCAATGGTAATTTTGATTGACAGTGATTTTTGCCTTTTGAACAACTCTTCTACTACCCCCAAAGTAAGGAGCAAGCATAAGAACAACTCAAATGGGTGAGAAGAAACTATGGATAGGGAAGTTAAGAGTGGAGGTGGGGGAGTGGAGGACAGGGGTTTGTGGGCTGAGGAAAACAGGACTACAAGCAGGCATCGAAGTAAAGAATGTAGTAATATGGTTTCTCCCTGCCGACTATTTCCAAACTGTATTTCAGGTCCAAAGCCAGAGCTTCCACTCTAAATGTGTGCTTTGCTGCTAAATGGATCGTTTCTGCCTTTTGGAGCCACAAAGAATGTAATCCTTAATTGTTACTGAGTTTAAAGAATATAATCCTTAACTGTTACTGAGTTCAAATAGAAGCTAGGAAGGAAAATAGGAGAGCACAGGACGACGGGGTTTGCAGACAAAAAAGATTCCTGACCCTGAGCCTTGGGAGCATCTGCATGGATCCTTTGTACAGAGCTGGTGGGGAAGGAGAGGCTGCAGTGTTCTCTGGGTCTGCTCGCCTAGAAAGGTGAGCCAGGGAGGAAGGAGTGCAGAGGGAGAAGCAAGCAGGGATGAGTTGTTTTAATGAGAAATAAGATCTATAAATTATAACAGAGAGGAGAATGAACTGACGGGTAAGTTGTAGAAAAAAGGAGCACTAAGTTTGGGGGTTTTTGAAGGAAGGTGTTCCCCATTCCTTGGTGTCTGCTAAGTAGTCCTTTCTGTTGTAGTGGGTTGAACAGCAGTGAGAACACAAACAATCTGGTTCTTAACTGGTTTAATATTTGACGGTACAAACAAGATCTGGTCTAGTCCTATGTATCAGCTTCTTCTTATTGCCTCTTGTTCTTAAATTGAAGACACGGAAGAAATTTTCGGAAAAGGCTCCACCCCTAAAGACTTCTCTGCTTCTAAACCTTTAGCCTTCACCACACTCACTGAGTCTGAACACGTTCTTCTTGGGGGTCTAGTTACTTCTCATTCAGCATGTCTCGCATCACAGTCATTATTTCCCCCCCCAAAACCCGCTCCTTTTCTAACATCCCTGTTTCTGTTAATGGCATCATCATTATAGTCACCCAGCCTTAGAAACCTCAGCTGATCTGGGATTATTTCCCCTCTTAACCTCCTTAAAAAAACCAGTACCAAGTTACTATACATTCTTTATAAAGTCTCTTGCATCGGTCTTTTTTTTTTTTTCCTATTCTTACTGCCACCATCCTAGTTCACACACTTTAACCTCATACCTGTACTGTTAAAGTTTTCTCCCAACTGCTTTTTCTGC